ACCAGTGGTGGGAGGGCATGCTGGGATAACCATTCTTCCCCTTCTATCAAAGACAAAACCCTCTGTTAGTTTCACTGATGAGGAAGTGCAGGAGCTAACTGTGAGGATCCAGAATGCAGGGACAGAAGTTGTGGAGGCAAAGGAAGGGGCAGGGTCTGCTACCCTGTCAATGGCATATGCTGCAGCCAGATTTGTTGAATCTTCTCTTCGCGCATTGGATGGTGATGCTGATGTCTATGAGTGCTCATTTGTGCAATCAGATCTTACTGAGCTTCCATTCTTCGCATCAAGGGTAAAACTTGGAAGGAAGGGGGTCGAAGCTTTCATTTCATCTGACCTCCAAGGGCTGACTGAGTATGAACAGAAGGCACTGGAAGCTCTCAAGCCTGAACTGAAGGCCAGCATTGAGAAAGGTATCGCATTTGCTCAGAGGGAACCAGTGGCTGCATAGAGTGAGGTCAGTTCTGGAAGCCTAAACCATACTGAAATGCTGGTTTATTGCGGTTGATATTTTTTGTTGTGGCTCGTCATTACATCAGCACTTTAAGTTTTGTAGAATTTTCGTATTTTTTTTTTTTTATATATCGTGAGAAACTCTTTTTTAATGAGATATTCCATGATAGCATTGTAGGTTCGAAGATTGCAATTGCTACCATTGAGGGCATGTACCTTTCCTTTTACCTTTTTGAAATAACACTGCTGATGTATCCCAACATTTTTATTAATAACTGAGAAAACTTTTATGCATCTGATGTCATTTGAATAACCAAGAAACCGTATTGAGTTGTCATTTTCAACCTGGTCCTTTCGCAGCTGTCTTTGTTAGGAAGGCTGTATTACCAGAATCTCTGTATGTTCGTAATTATAGTGGCAGATAAGCAAAGGCATGTGTTGATCTATGAATTCATACGAGTAAGAGGATCCCCGGAAACCTTTATAAGAATCTGGGCAGCCCTAGCCTGGTCCTTTTGCAGCTGTCTTTGTAAGAAGGCTGCATTACCAGAATCCCTGTATGTTCGTAATAATATTGTGGCAGATAAGCAAAGGCATGTGTTCATCTATGAATTCATACGAGTAAGAGGATCACCGGAAACCTTTATAAGAAGCTAGGCAGCCGCATTTTTTCTCGAATAGGTATTCCCCGTGATGAAGGTGGTTAACCCAGTTGTGTGGAGGCAACATTTCAAGAGATGTTGTAATCATAGGATTGCCATTCTTAATCTCATGTAGGACAAGAGCCAGGAACTTGGGACTTTGCCTCTCGTAAATAAAAGGATGCACTATGAAGATTCGAAATGGATAGCGACAGTAGAGCATCATGCAATAATGCACGTATCTAATTACTGGGTTCGAGAGCAGTTGTAAAGTCAGGAACACAGTCTACAATTTTTGGCCCGGTTTATTATCAATACAACTAGGGGGAGTGTTTGGCATTGAGTTGAAACTTGAAAATATATTTTTTTTACAAATTAATTTTTTTTTTTGTGTTTTTAAATAATTTTAATATACTGATATCAAAAATAATTTTTTAATATATATATATATATATTATTTTAATACATTTCTAAAAATATTTTGCAAATCAATCATTATTATAACTTTAAACACTTTCTTAAACAGGTAGGATTACTTTAGTAGTTTATATGAACATTGATCATGTAATATATTAGTTGTCATTAAATAACAAGCTTCTTTAAACACTTTCTTAAACAGGTAGGATTACTTTAATAGTTTATATGAACATTGATCATGTAATATATTAGTTGTCATTAAATAACAAGCTTTTAGTGTTGTAGCTATCATGAGTTTGAATTCTAGCATAAACAAATAAATCTTTTTAGACAATAAATAATATGTCTTCTGTATTGTTTTTTTTAAAAAAAACAAAGGGGCAGAAAAAAAAATTCAAGACCCGTTGATTTCTTTGAGGCTTACGTGACTTGACTTTTTTTATTTGTTATTTGGGTTATCATGATTTTTTTTTTAATTTTTTAATATAAGATTTTATATTATTGTATCTAATATTGAATTAATAATAAATTAATTTTTATATTTTTTATTATAATAGAAGTTTTTTTGTCTCTTTTTTTAATCATCTTATGTTTTTTCTTGTTTTTTTTTTCTCATCTCTATTATTTAATGAGTTTTTTGTCCTTATGTTTTTTATTTTATTCTTTAATATGATATTTTTATATAATTTTAGCATTTAGAATTAGACTGGTGGTAAATTAATTTTTTTATTTTTATGATATAATAAATTTTTTTTTGTTTTTTTTATATTTTTTTTCAATTTCATCTTTTAATGTAGGGATTTTAATTCCTTTGGGTTTTTGAACCTTTTTTTTGTTATCTTTTTTTCTTTCAATTTAGATTTTTATTTAATTTTATTTTTTAATATTGAATTAATTTTTTTTTTCAGATCTACTTAATAAACAAGATCACATCATCAGGATAATTCATATATAATTTAATTTAAAATCCAAATTAAATACATAGTTTAAATCATAGTTTTTCAAGTTTAAACTCTTATACCAAGTTTTATACAATGCTAAAATATTTTCAATAATCTAGATATTATTTTGTAACATTGAAAAAACTTTTCACCTAATTTTTTTTTAATCCAAGCCTCATCAAAAGCATGGCTAATAAAAGAACATTACCCAAAACAACAAGTGTCAAGTAGCCGAAAAGAAAGTTTTATCCTCTTAAGAAATAACTAGTTACATTATATTAATTATTCACCGAAATCCATTTCACTCGGATATATATATATATATATAATCCATGAACCTTTAAGATTTCAGTTTTTTATATATATATTTTTATAGTCTCCCTTTTCAGTGATTCATGTAATGGGAAGCAAACGTGAAACTAAAAAATAGAAGGAAAATTCAAGTTCGAGATTCCCTTTCATTGATCTTCTTGCTTGCTGGGCTGATTCGACAACAGGGGTTGCTGATCTTAAGCAGGCAAATTCAATCCCAGTAGTGATTTTTGAGAAGCCACTGTTGAAAATCCCACTTGCAGACTATGATTTCTTATAACATGGGTGTCGGCTAGGTATAAGAGAAAGGATTTCAGAAACTAGTTTTTTTAAATAAAAAAATACTTTATGGTTTAATTTTTTTTTTCTTTGGAAATCAGTGGGACATTTTTATCAAATCATGCCTGTGCATCCTTATAATAATAATAATAATAATAATAATAATATCAATTTGAATACCACTTGTAAAGAATCAACTGCTATCTTAACATGTCGATAACAAAATTAACAATAAAAGTTTATTAAATAAATTTTATTAGTACAAATGCTAAAAAAAATAAATTAGTATAAACACAAATAGGAAAGTGATAAAGTACACAGACATATTAGTCTTAATTAAATGGCTTGGAGTTATCAAGTAATGATTAGGGCTGTTCTTGTAGCTGGCAAATGAATAAAATGCTTATAGGAGAACAGACTGGATGGTCTGACTCAGGAACCAATCCAACTCAAACCTGTCATCATGATTTTTTTTTTAATTAATGAGTCATTAATAATAAATTTATTTTTATTTTTATTATAAAATATATTTTTAGTTTAAAAAATGACAAATTCTTTAATATTAGATTTGCTTTTTATTACATTGTTTTTATTTTATAATTTAAGTCACAGATTTAATAAATTAAGTTTATTGACTCGATTTTTTTATTTTTTAATTGATTTTTCCTCTAATTTTATTATTTAATATTGTATTTCATTGAAAATTAAACTTTATAATTTATTTTACTTTATTTTTTAAGTTATTTAGGCCTTATAACCTATAAATAGTATTTTAAGAGTTAACCTAACTTGACTTTGCTCATTTTATATGTTTTTTTCTAATAAATTTTTTTATTAATTTTATCACTCAATATTTAGTCCAACAGAATAACTAAAAATTAAATTTTATAATTTATTTTGACTTGCACTCTACGATAGCTCAATTTCATGACTAAAATTATGGATTTGATATATTAAGTTATGTTATTGTTTTTTTATTTTATTTCTATTAGATTGTCTTCGTCTCAAAATCTAGGTTATGAGTTTGATGAATTGACTTGAGTAATTTTTTATATTTTTTAATTGATTTATTTTTTTAATTTTATCCTTTAATATTGGATTGATTAAGAATTAAACTTTGTAATTTGATATAATTTGTTTTATATAAAGTTATCTCAATATTATAACCCGGTCACGGGTTTGATAAGTTAATTTAGTTTTTTTTTTCAGGTTCTTTTTTAATTTATTTATTTTTAATTTTATCCTTTATCATTTGATTGATTAAGAATTAAATTTTATAATTTATTTTAATTTATTTTCCATAAGATTATTATGATCTTATAACTTAGGTCATAAATTTAACATGTTAATTCAGGTTGACTCAAATTAATTCAATATATTATCATGTTAATATTAAAAAAAATCCATCTTAAATTTTTTTTCGAATTAAACAATATTTTAAAAGATTATTTAGGTTACTTTTTAAAATTGAAAGTTTTTTTTATTTTTCATATGAAAAATTGATAACATTTGAATATTTTTTTAATATTTAAGAAAGATTTAACCTATCGCTGGTCAATAATATAGTAATGATTATAAAGAGTCCAATAACACGTAATTTCCAGTTTCTTTTCTTTCGTTTTCGGGTCAGTGTCCCATAAAAAAACCCTCAAAACCATCCCAGTCCAAGATGAAATCTGGACCCTATCATTCCACGTGTTAGCATTCCATCCGGTAAAAAAATCCTTGCATCCCAGCATTTTCGTAGTCTGAAATGAGAATCAGACCGTGCAAAAACCTCAACAAAAAAACGCTTAATAGAAAAGATTTGATTTTTTTTTTTTTATCTCAACACTAACATCCCTTTCCTTTAGCTAAATTTCATTGTTTCAGCAGAAGCAGAAGCAGTAGCAGTCCTTCAAAATCTTTACCTTTTCTCTTCCAGCAGGTAAAACCGACCAACCCCATTTTCATATTCTTAGCATTGCTATTATTGCTTTTCTTGCAGCTTTAAACTGTTAGAAGCCATACATTTTTTATTTATTTAATTTATGAAACTATTAATTGTTTTTTTATTATCTGCTCCTTTTAGTTTTTCCATCTGGGGTTGGCTTCTATTTCAATTTAAAAAAAAAAAAAGATTGTTGCATGAATTAGATAGAAACCAATCTTAAACGTTTGATTTATGGTTTTTAATTTTATGTGGATTCAATTATGGATTTGGAGGAGATAGTGTGAAACTTTTTGCTAAAATTTAAATTTGTGCTATCTTTTAAGGTGTTTTCAGTGAATGGTAGAGTGATATGCGGACTACCACCTGTTCTTTTCTAGATTAAAGGATTTTCATTTAACCTGATGTAATTTGAACCAAAAAAGGAAAAAAGAAGAAGAAAAGAAACCATGTAGAGATGAGTATTTACTGGAACATATTCTAAGGTCTGGTTGAGGTTGAAGATGACGTGTCGTATAGTCTAGTCCCTGTGGATTTAATTATTGTTCACCTTAGTCCCTGCAGTGCAGTCCTGGCTGCTGCTTTGAATTGCTTTTTTTTCCCCCAGAAATGTTCCTGTGTGTAAGCAAAGCTCTTTTAGATATGCCCTAGGTTTTGAATTTCTGATTTTTAAATGGTGGTAGATGGATCCAATAATCACATTATAAATTATGGATTATTAGCCATCAAATTTTTATTGTTACCGCTCATGTTTTTTTTTTTTTTTTTGTCTGAGAGAAGGTGGATGTGCTCACTTTGATTAATTGTAAAAAATAGCTAATTAACTTTATTATTTTTTCTCCTTAATTATATAATTACCCAAAGTAATATTGAATATTATTTCTAACCAATTTCTTTACTTAGCTCCTTCAATTATGCCTTTTAATTTTCCCAATGCCACATCTACATATTCTTGTTTATCTGTTTTATAGTAACGGATCTTTTATCACTTTGCTCACAGGATTTTGGTTGTTCAATCTGCAATGGCCTATGCTTTTGAAGATTTTGTTCAGTCATACCTTACATTTTGACACTATATTTGTATTTATCACTGCAATGATGTATTTAAGGAATTTCTATGAGGTTAATGTATGGTTGGTGGTTTAATTTTAAAGGTGGTTTTGAAGTGAGGTTGCTTGGTTTTGCTAATTTAACTTCTTTTATTTTGTTCTTAAGCATGTTATGTTTTCAGATCGTGCTTTGGCTGCTAGAGTTGCCTGGATAGTGATGAACTGCATCTTTATCTTTTGGATTGAATTCAAATAAACCTCACTTTCGTTGTTATAAGTGTTAGTTCTTTAATGAAATAAGCCCTGCATTGTTTTTTGTTTCACAGCTATACAAAATGGCGGCAACATCTGCTGCTACCTTTTCTATTGGATCAACTATCTCCCTTGGCACCAAAGTGAGCCAACTCCCGCAATCGAAGCCCTTGTCTGTGAGATTTAACTCCCAGAACACTCTTGCGACCTTCAGTGGACTCAAGGCAGCAACCTTTGTTAAGTGTGAGTCGGGGTCATCTTTCTTAGGCAAGGAAAGCGGTGCAGCGCTTCAAGGCGCTGCTGCACCAAAAGCTCAAAAATCAAGCCAAAGGTCACAGCATAACCTAAACCCACAGGCATCTTACAAGGTGGCAATTCTTGGAGCTGCTGGAGGGATAGGTCAGCCTTTAGCACTTCTAGTTAAGATGTCCCCATTGATTTCCGCCCTGCACATCTATGATATAGCAAATGTCAAGGGAGTTGCTGCTGATCTCAGTCACTGTAACACCCCCTCTCAAGTCTTGGGTTTCACAGGAACATCTGAATTACCCAATTCTTTGAAGGGTGTAGATGTTGTTGTCATTCCAGCTGGTGTTCCAAGGAAGCCTGGTATGACCCGCGATGACCTCTTCAGCATCAATGCCAACATAGTAAAGACGTTGGTTGAGGCTGTTGCTGATAACTGCCCTGATGCTTTTATACACATTATCAGCAATCCAGTCAACTCTACATTGCCAATTGCAGCTGAAGTTTTGAAGCAGAAAGGTGTGTATGATCCAAAGAAGCTCTTTGGTGTTACTACACTTGATGTTGTTAGGGCAAACACATTTGTTGCTCAGAAGAAGAATCTCAAGCTTATCGATGTGGATGTACCAGTAGTAGGGGGGCACGCTGGAAAAACCATTCTTCCCCTCCTATCAAAGACGAGACCCCCAGTTAGTTTCAATGATGAGGAAGTGCAAGAGCTAACTGTAAGGATCCAGAATGCCGGGACAGAAGTTGTGGAGGCAAAGGAAGGGGCAGGGTCTGCTACCCTGTCAATGGCATATGCTGCAGCCAGATTTGTTGAATCTTCTCTTCGCGCATTGGATGGTGATGCTGATGTCTATGAGTGCTCATTTGTGCAATCAGATCTTACTGAGCTTCCATTCTTCGCATCAAGGGTAAAACTTGGAAGGAAGGGGGTCGAAGCTTTCATTTCATCTGACCTCCAAGGGCTGACTGAGTATGAACAGAAGGCACTGGAAGCTCTCAAGCCTGAACTGAAGGCCAGCATTGAGAAAGGCATTGCATTTGCTCAGAAGCAACCAGTGACTACATAGATTGAGTTAATTTCTGGAAGTCATAACCAGACAGAAATGTGGGTCTTATCTACGTTGGCCATCTTTTCCCCAGATCAATGCATCGGCAATTTCAGTTTTGCAGAATTTTCACCATCTTATGTCTTGAGAAACTTCTTTTGAGGATATATTTTCTTTAGTGTTGTACCTTCACAAATTGCAATTGCTACCATCAAGAAGAGCATGTATTTTTTTCCCCTCGGAGATAAAATGGGGGGTGTATCCCAATTTTCGATTTCTTAAGAGTAATTTTTTGCAAGATTGCATGCATCTATTATCATATGGAGTCCAAGAAAGCATTTTGATTTTTCTTTGTTTAGTGTAGACTTTTGCAAGTATCTCTATTTACAGTGGTGGAGTTATAATTTTTTAAATAAAATAGTAAATTATTAATAAATATTATATTATATAGATATATATTAAAAATCAATTTAAAATATATATACTATTTTATATTAAATAAAATTAATTTTAAAATATTTTAAAATAAAAAAATTTATATTATAATTGTTCTTTTTAAATTTTTATATTTAGAAATCGCTTCATAATAATTTCATTATCATTCTTAATGTGTACAACCAAACTATTATTTATCCACTTATTTTTTATTATATTTCGTAATCTACTCTTGACAATATTAATTTATTCTTTTATAATAAAAAAATAAATATTTAATTAATTAAATTAACGGATTCAAATATTTATTTTGAACATATTTATATCAAAATTCTTAAATTATTATAAACCCTCATATTTTTAATATTAATTATAAAAGAATAAAATTACAATTAGATAATGAAACAAATAAAAAAATAAAGAAAATTTACCTAAAACAAAAAATAAAAAAATAATTATTTAATTATACTTGAAGAAGACTTGATGAGAAATTTGCATACAAGAAAGAGGCATGAACAACTCAAAAGAAAAAAAGACTCTCGATTAATTAGGGGAAGAAAAAAAAAAGGAAAAAATCTACTGTAATAAGCTGGACATATATATTATATATAATATTAAAATATAAATCAACAATAATAACTTCCATGTATTAACCATTCAACAAACTATTATATTAATATTTTAATATAAAAAATATTAAAAAAATTGTCCCTATATAGCTACACTATTGTCTGTTTAGTAAGGCTGCATCTGCATCACCAATCTTTAAATTTGCTGATATAAGTTCAGGAGTATTGGATCAGAATTCTAGATACTTCACAGTAAGCCTAGAGGTGTTCATTTATTTGAGTTCATAGCAAAGCTTTCGTTGAGCATCTTGTTTACATATTCACATTCGTTTTGCATTCGTTTTGCTTGTCAATTAACATTCCATCAAATCTTGAAAAGTATAATTTAACAAATCAAATTCTGAGTTTATTCTCTAAATATCATTAGTTTAAATACCATAAATTTTAAAATTATTAAAAATTTATATAATTATTAATTTTAAAATCTCAAAAAATTAGTCAATATATATATATATAAACAGGTACGAATATCTATAATTAAAAAAAAAAAAAAACACTCCATGTTGTTGGATCTCCTCGAAAGGTTACTAGTTCCATGGCTAATAACTTATAGACTGCCTTTTCTACAAAATGCGTGACCCTTTACTAGGACACAAGTCTTAACGGGCAGTGAAAATTTTCCTTCAAAATTAGGGAAAGTATGAGGCCATTCAAGTCCAATGCTTGTACAGGTGACGACGCATAATCAAGATTCGAATGGAAGGCAATGAGTAGAAAATCATACTATAAGCAAAAGTCACTCAAGAGGTCACTGTGGGTTATAGAGAAGCATTAAAAGTCAGAAACAAAGTCTAGCATATGGGCCCAGGTTGTATAACCCACACGCAATTAAGACTTTGACCAAAAAAATTAATACTTTAACCATGAAAACTAAACACCATTGACAAAAGAAGCAAGAAACATGGACCAGGCAACACAGAGAGACGATAGACATGGAGAACAAGCACTTTCTCCTAATCGCCTTGCCTGCCCAGGGCCACTTAAATCCTATGTTCCAACTTGGCAAGTGCCTGATACATGCCGGTGCCGGGAGAGTCACTTTTGCCACTACAGCACATGGTCTCACTCAGGTCGAAGCCTTCCCTTCACTTGAAAATTTACACTATGCCTCTTTCTCAGATGGTTTTGATGATGGGATCAAACCCACCAACGATCCACACCGCATCAGGGCTGAACTCAAACGTGTTGGCTCACAAACCTTAACTGAGCTCCTCCTGTCTCTCTCCAAGGAGGGTAATCCGGTGAGCTACCTAATCTACACCCTTCTCCTCCCTTGGGCTGCTGATGTTGCACGTGACATGTCCATCCCATCTGCTTTTCTTTGTATTCTGTCTACTACTGCCTTTGCTCTATGTTACTGTTTCTTTAAAGAACGTGATGGTGTATATGATAGTAATGATAATGGGCCTCCAAGCTCAATTGAAATGCCTGGATTGCCACTGTTCACTAGTAAAGATATGCCTTCCTTCCTTTTGCCCAATGATCCACATGCATCAATACTCATCCCTCTCTTTCAACACCATATCCAAGCACTAGAAAAAGACTCAAACCCATGTGTGCTACTCAACACCTCTGATTGCCTAGAAGAAGAAGCAATCAGACGCATCAGTAATCTTAACCCAATCCCAATCGGACCATTAGTTTCATATGCATTTTTAGATGAAAACAACTCAACAGACTCGTCTTGTGGAATTGACTTGTTTGAAAAATCTACAGAATACAGTCAGTGGTTGAATTCAAAACCAAAAGGGTCAGTAGTTTATGTTTCCTTTGGAAGTCTAGCTGTGTTGCAAAAAAATCAAATGGAAAAGATATTGCTCGGTCTAACTGGTACCTGCAGGCCATTCTTATGGGTAGTTCGACCTTCAGCTGGTAGTGATGATAGAGAGTTCGAGGAGAAGATAAGGGACAAAGTGAATGAAGAAGAAGGGTTGATAGTGCCATGGTGTTCACAAATGGAGGTGCTCGCTCACGAATCGATAGGGTGTTTTATGATGCATTGTGGGTGGAACTCAACACTGGAGAGCCTAGCAACAGGTGTTCCTGTTGTGGGGTTCCCACAATTCTCTGACCAGACAACAAATGCAAAGATGGTGGAAGAGGTGTGGAGGACCGGAGTTAGAGCAAGAGTGAATGATGATGGTACTTTAGAAGCAGAAGAGATTGAGAGGTGTTTGGAGATGGTGATGGGAGGTGGTCAGAGAGGAGAGGAAATAAGGAGGAATGCTAAAAAGTGGAAAGGATTGACTTTGGAGGCTGTGATGGAGGGGGGTTCTTCATATAACAATCTCAATGCCTTTCTGGAAAAGATCGAATGATGGAGGGAGGCGCTCCACCTTGATTTATAGTCGAGTCTGAAACACTTACGATTAGAGAGAAGTATGCGTGTGTAAAGAGCAGGTTGAATTATGCATGTATCAAGTTAAGGTTTGGATAACTGATAGAACTATAATTCAGTTGACATGTTGTGATCCCGTTTATTGGTTTAATCATCCGAAAAAGCTTTGATTTTTCTGAAAATTTTGAACACAAGCTGGCTTGAAAGCCACCCTACTTTCATATTTTAGGGTATTAGTGTGTGATCCGTTGAGTTGTCTAAAGATGATTTCAAGCATTTATAGGACAGAAACGGAAAGAGAATTCTGAGATCGACTTGTTTTGCCGTTACCCGATTTGGTTGATTTCGACGATTCATTCAAAACGAGTCAAGAAGCCATGTTTATAAACAGCTTGCTAGCCTCTGTAAGCCTTTCAACGCAAGGGATGTCTCCTCCATTTCACGTTCATCTATTATAAATATGAAGAAAATTGATCAGACCATCGGTGCAGCATCACATCACAAATTCCTTAATTTTGGATAACATTTCAATAAAAAATAAAGAGTAAGATCATGACCAATGAGCTTTTCTCTCAGTGGTATTCATGCAAGAGCAGGAGGGATGAAGTCCAGCAATCACCTGCTCAAGTGGAGAGGAGGTCCAGGTCCAGATCTGGAGTTCAATTTTTCCTTTCCCTCTAAGCTCAAGCTACACAAATCCCTTATGATGTGTTTATAGCATATACCATTTGTTCTAAATGGAAGTTCATAGCATGCAACAAACGACATGCCCTCAACAAGATAAACGCCAAATACAATAGAAGAAAAGATAAAAGGACAGGTGTGCGTATACCGGATCATTTTCCATGTATAAATCATAAGATGAAGAGAGTGAAAAGGTAAGCGCAGGGAGAGAAAGGAAAGGGAAAAATTAAGGATGAAGATAAAGATAAAAAGGAACCAAAAAGGAAAATAAAAACAAGGAAAAAGCTTGTGTGCATAGTAAAACCACAGCAACATAACAAGCAGCTTCTCATTATATGAATGGAAACCTCTATATGAAATGAGAATACCAATAAAGAAGATAAAAAAGCTACTGTCATCTTTCTTCCAGGATACTCCACACCACTAGGAAACAAACCAAAGAGTGTATATATACATGTACAGCTGATCTGGACCTGGCTGTGGATCATGGAAAGACAAAGTGAACACCACATTTTCCAATATAGGGATTAAATGACATAATCAAGCAGGTAGACACATCATGAGTGGAATGATACGCTAGCATTTTTCTCTCTTCTGTCTCTTGTGAGCTTGATTCAAGTCTTCTACACTGCTCCCAACTCCATCTTGTATGATCAGTTGATTACTTAGATAATGATTTACCTGATCCTGGGAAAACAATGGATAAGGTAAAAAAAAAAAAATAAGAGAGAGAGAGAGAGAGAGAACCAGATGAAGACAGATGGTCAAACTACTAAAAGAAAAAACAAGGGACACAGTAATGCAAAAGTCTAGCAATACATGCTCAAAAATCCTAGCATCATCAAGGTCTGCTAAAAGAATCACCGTATCATAGAGGACTTCTGTTAAAAAATCATAGCATCAGAGGGCTTCAAAGACTTCAGTTTAGGATCAAATAGCCAGTGCCTTTTCTTTTTTTTTAAAAAAAAAAAAAAAGAGGGGGAAGAGGTTTCACAGCAAATATGCAACCTCTGTTCGAAAATCATTAGCAAATATGCTAGCTTTGTTCAAAAAATCAAGGAATCATATAGGGATTGCAACAATTAGTTTAGGATCACAGAAATAAACCTTTGAACTTGGTGCCACAGCATTTGTACCATTTTCTCGTTTGCCTACATCAATTTGCACTGTGATGCTTGTCTGTGCTAGATCCACACCCGATGATTGTAGTGCTTGGGTCAGAGTATTTAATATCCTGTTGACCAAAAGCCCATTCTATAACAACATATATAAGATGTCTTTACAGAGCTACTAAGCAGCTCAATGAACTGATGGCAGGTATGATTGCTAAGACCACTATTAATAATGCGGTAAACTTGTATAAATTCTGAAGATCAAAAATACAAATCTTTATAATAAAATACAAATCCCGAAAAAGAAACTTCAAAGCATTAGAAAAAGTCTAATCATTGGCATAAGATAACACCTTGTATCATACATGTACAAGTAACCCTTGCAATGACCCAACAATCTACCTTACAAAAGCCTTACCCCGGATAACCGGTGCATAAAATCTGAAATCATAAACTTGCAGACAACATCAAGGTAAAACTTCATTGATCAAGTTACCAACCTGGGTAAATCTAACATAAATATTTGCATCAAACTCTTCTAAAAAATTTTAGCTGGTGCTAGACAACCATGATTTTTTCTTTCCTAATCTCCAGCGGGTAAGGCCAGTGCATGATATACATGACCAAAAATGCTAGTTTCATAACAAGCATGCCCATGAAGTGATTCCATGCCAAAAATAAGGTCAATGGTTCGATTTTACAATTAGTAATGCAACAGAATTATTGAGAGATGGGCAGATGCTCACTGTTTAGAATAGGCATTGGAGATATTAACTGATCGACTGTCACTTGCCATGTCCTCCTGTCCATTCAGTGTATTGTTTGGAGTAATACACTCAGTGGCACATGGTTGCAATAGTTGGGATTGAAGCTGGTAAGCCATGTTCTCAGCGTCAGAAACAGATTCCTGCAAGGACTCTGTAGACACACCACCCCTCCCAACAGCAGCAAATACACACGACTGTGTTTGCACGTCAAATGGAATTGCTGGGTTGGTTGGCCCAGGGGAATGATCCAAAGTTTTATACATTGCAGCAGTGTCAATGTCAGATTTTATTGAGTTATGTACATTTCCAAGCATTACAGTATTTTCATGAGCAGAACCACTCTTCATAACTTGTGTATGACCCAGTCTGCTTTCAGCAGAAGCACTATAATTCTTCTGTTTCAAAGAAAACAAAAACCATTTGGAAGGGAAAACATTATAGGGAACATATGCCCCGCTATCACATATATAGAGGATGCGATTACAATTCATGTCTAGAAAATATTCTACAAAGAGAACAAATTGAAAAGTTGATGCACATTATTACCCAATCACCTTCTGTGGCACTTGTGAAAGATAATGTGTTCCACATGCTATGATATGGGAAACAGATTAAGTCGTTGGTAGTATTGGTATTCTATGTACAATAAATGAATATGAGTGCATTTGAGATGCTATTTTTAAACAATAAAAATTGTCAAAAGTTAGAATACAGTTTTGAGAAAATGATCAAGTACTTGCCTCACAATTTAAGTGTGTCATTCCACACAATCAAGAGGAAGTAAATCACTTAAAATCTAAGAGGCCCATAACTTGATGACACACACCATATCAAGTGCATATGAAAATTCTCAATCAGAAAGCAATCAGCATGGGCACAGTTCAGTTAAAAAAGTGCATGCCTCAACATTTATATGAGAACACCTTTAGAACCTAGGCCACTAGATCCAAAGAGCTCATTTTTACAACCTAAAAATGCATACATTCAAATGCCAGTGTGTAAGTTCATACAGAATGCACCAAACCCCAAATCATCCAAAGTCCTGAACCTCTCTCTAGCCCATGCTATAAAACTAAGGTTGCATCCTCAATGTTCCAAATCAAACAAAGGAACACATGTATCAAAATCTTAAAATATCATGTCTAAGTCGTAAGATGGGCCTGATAGTGAAAACAGGAAGACATTTATTGACATGTTTATAAATTTTGGTCATTCCATATTTCTAGTTTACTTTACAAAGCAAGATGTACAGAAAAAAAGACCACGGAGGTTATCACCATCCAATTTTGGCTACTATGTATGGAAATGCACACAGGACCCCATTATAATGTGCATATCTTAATCAAACTCGAGGAACTTCAATGAACATGTTCTAAACGTGATAAAAGTTGTAAATTGTGAGCATTTCCTTCAGTTCCAAACAATGATCCTTCTCCTAGTCATGGCAAAGCAACCCACCTTGCATGGCTTGCCAAGCATGTTAGGTGTGATAATTAGAAACTATATTCATCTATCCTTCAAATGCACAAACAAAGTTCATCTACCTTGAAGTTGTTTAATTCAATACCCTAGATTGTTGTTGATTGGTAATGTATGATCATTTATTTTAAAATATCTGTGTTGAACAGGGTAATGTTGATGAAAAGCAATATGCAGACGTAAATGTCCATGATCGAAAGTTTACCCATGGCAATAATTTAGCTGGCTCCTGACTCCAGCCTTCATACGATCCCTCATAAATTTGCAACTTATCCTGTAAAAACTGAACGTACTCTATAACCTGCACATGATTAAAAAAAAAATCAATAAATTCAGGAATTTAAAACCAAAAAGAAAAAGGTTGATCGGTTAACCTCTAACAAGAACGACGCCTTATCTCTTTTCTGATCATTTTGAGGAACAAGATTCCTCAAAGCCTGGAACCTGCTTCACAAAATATCATTTAATCGGTAAGCCAAGAACAAAACTCCAATATATATGTTAAATAAAAAAATTTTAGAAAAAGTGATATGCATTAGTAATCAAATGCAAAATAGTCTACTGAGAAAGCTCAAACACAAGAATTAAATACAAAACTGTTTTCTTTCAAATAAATTTAACATATTGAAACAAAGAAATTAAGAACTTTGTTGTCATTTCTTCACCAATGAAGCCTAAAACGACGCCATTTCTTTCAGCGTTTAACAATGCTAACAGAAGTACCATTTTATAATTACATATAATAATAATAGAGTAAAGAGAAATTTACCTCTCGTTAATCTTGCTCCTTCTACGCTGCTCCGTCTCCGAATGCTTGGACCGGTTCGCATTCGCCTTCAGCTCATTGCTTTTACTCTCTGCTTTCGCTGCTTCTTCTATATGTATATAATTATTTACTTCTGAAATTAATTATCAACAAAATTAAAAACAATTAAAAAAAGGTTGTGTACGTTACCTTTGTAGGACGACGAGTCGTAGTCTTCAGCTTCATCTTCTTCGTCGAGGTGAGATTTTGTTGATTTCACCATTACTACTACTATACAGAAATGGAAAAGGAGAGGAGGAGGGAGGAATTTTGTGTGTCCAGTTATGTGGAGCAGAAGCCCTGGGCCCTAGGAAGGATAGGAGATGATGACATGACATGACATG